GTAAACAAACTGGGCGCTATAGATCGATTATGCTTACATGATAGGAATACTTTTAATGCGCCCCGATCGCACCACGTTATGCCTTCTTTAACGAAGAATGCTCCGTGGGCGTTTCCAAAGCTTCTGGCCACACGCCCGCAAACGACCGCGGTTGCCATTGATTACGGTCGGGTCAGCTGTTTTTACCGAGTACCACCCCCCTCTCGGAAATAAGAACTGCTGGTTGCTGATAAGATTTGATAAGGGAGTTAGAATGGAAAGGTCAACATACTCATAACGCGGGACACAGCATCAGTTAGGCGTTGATTTCAGCAAATGATATCAAGGGGAAGGTGGAGAAGGCGACGGCGGGTGACAGGAATGATAACAGCTGATAGGGCCTGATAGAGAACGATGCAGTTGTTGTTCAATCAAACGCTGGAGCCTCTACACCACGAAATTATGGAGTTTTAGTGATAGCGACATTGATGACGGGTGACAAGCAATTTTATCAATTGATAAGTAAAGATAAGGGGACATTCTCACGACATCTCTGACCACTACACTGCCAAAAAAGCCTCTCAGTAAGCGAAATTTCTCCTCCAGCCATCACTTCTCTGATAGCACTAGAAAATGAACTCATCCCACTATCCTTCTATGTGTAATGTTGAATGTAATGTTGAAGTCGAGGAGCTGGGTGGGGGGGGGGGGTATGTACTTCGCCTGAAACAGGAAGTTTGGAAAAATCAAAAACCTGAATATTGGAACACACTTTATGCGTTCAGTGACTATTTGACTATTTTTTGCTTTTCAACTTTTAATCACTGATGAGAACGAATAATGAAGTAGTCTGTAAGATATTCAACGAACGCAGCCCAAATATTGGCATCTGCAGTCATTCATGCAACCTTAGCAGGTGGATTGCATGTTAATGGCAAGTTAATCGCTCATCGTTGGCGTTGTGATGCAGGTAATAAAAACGGAATTTGTTCATCTACTGTGCAACTCATATTGATATTGCGCTCATGGCCGACTGTACTTCCTATCTATTTCTACGATCTACGTATAGAATGGCGTTATGGCCGAAACCAGCACGCCTTCCGCAAATATCAGGGTGGACTGAGGAGTGCAGAATCCGCTAGGTTGCTCTGTCTATTATGATTCGACCACTACCGCGCAATATGAGCAGCTCAGGCAATTAACAAATTCCATTCCCGTTATGATGTGCGCCCGGCGAAGCCTGACTTAAGGGAAGCAGGAGAGCTTGGCGTGAGCCGGGCGCTCTGACTGGTTAGGGATATAAGCGATGAGAGCAATGATTATAATCGGGTAAGCGGAGTAAGCATTCACAACTTTGCGTGTAGTATTTGAGATTATTCAGCTGGTAGCCGGAGTCCGGAGTCTAGTCAAAGTTCTAGCAAGAACGTGCGCGAAGGATGCTTGAGTACAGGGAAGTTAAAAATTTTTCGTCGTGAACGCACACGATCGGGCGCACCGTAATCGGTTTAGTTACCCAAATTTGAGGGCGTTCAATAGCTCCTGTTATACGGCTTTTGCATAACCGGCTGATGTACGTTTCATCTTTGAAGGCAACCAACCCAAGGAATCAGAACCAAACTTGTGCGCGCGGGAAAACCGGCATTTGAAAACCGAATGGTTGCGCCCGATTTGAACAGTGTTCTGTTCAAATTCGAGCGCGCGCGGGAAGAGCCGGCATTTGAAAACCGAATGGTTGCGCCCGATTTGAACAGTGTTCTGTTCAAATTCGAGCGCGCGCGGGAAGAGCCGGCATTTGAAAATTGCGCGTGAAGTTAAAAATTTTGCGTCGTGAACGCACACGATCGGGCGTACCGTAATCGGTTTAGTTACCCAAATTTGAGGGCGTTCAATAGCTCCTGTTATACGGCTTTTGCATAACCGGCTGATGTACGTTTCATCTTTGAAGGCAACCAACCCAAGGAATCAGAACCAAACTTGTGCGCGCGGGAAAACCGGCATTTGAAAACCGAATGGTTGGGTACTTTTATGCTTGGCATCGGTGTGGATCGTGGACGCATTCGTGGAAAAACATTCTGGGCATTTGCCGAGTCCCAGCGCCTGCCTGCTCGCTCTGTGGAGATGTCAGTCTCCCCAAAAGAACAAAAATTGCAGTCACTCAAATTCCTCAATTTTTTTGAGTCCACCTGAACGAATACTTCCCTTTCCTTCCTCTTTGCATGAACTTCATCGATATTGTTAGTTCTATGTTTGGATATTAATCAATATGAGGTACCTGTGGCGGGGCACTGTAGACTTCTATGGAAAGACTGTCGGGCACAACCCAACGCACACACCCAAAAAAGTCGAAAAAAATTTTTTGGCCGAAAGATTGTTTACAGGGGTAATCGATGGCCCCGATCATGATTTTCGACACTTACTTTCGGCGCCGACGTAACTTGGCGCCTTGTTTGTATACGTTCCTCAATACGTAATGGTATTTAGAACCTGAATAATTGAATAGCACCAATTCACAGAGTATCTCATTTGAAGTGTGCTCATAAATGGCAGTTATCGGGCTTATATTCATGCGATATTTATGGAAGCGAAAATGGCGAATCTATAAAAAGTGCAGAAATTCGTTGCGGAGGGGAGCCGAACCATCAAGCCCACCCACACTGTCCGCTTGAGAATCCTCCACGCTATCCACTAGGCCATCCGATCGCTGCACCTAATCACTGCTCCGATCGTTGAAGAAACCATTCCAGGGAGTTCATTCTTGATCACGTGCCACAAGTAAGACCCCATACCCCGACTACTTTTCTCTTCGATTCCGATAGTACCTTTATAGGGTCCCTCCATTCAGCAACTGGTCAAAGTTTCAAGCGGTTTACAGCTCGTAGAGGCTCAAAAATGATCAGTTTCCATAGATTACTTTTCGCTCCTTTTTTGGCATTCCGGAGACCGCACAGCGACAATAAACACCATTTTTGTGGTCTATGTACGACCCCCTACAAAATGCAAAAGACCACTTGAAAAGATGGGCACGCCCTGAACGACCTCCGTTGTTAGAAAAGCGCTTAAAAGCAGTTGGCACGATGATCTGGTGTTCGGCCTCAAATGCTCCTAGGAAGCTATATAGTGGGGAAATGGCGAAAGAACGACAGTAATCAATTTTGGACGAGTTTCCCGGGGGCATCTTGCCAATAACCGCTACCGAAGGTACGGCTGCATATGTGTACTCATATATCCATGCAGCATCACGGCCGCTTCATACCAATTCTTTCGCTTAATAATTTGCTTAGAGTTGCGATGCGACGACCACACAGGGAGAGGAATGATTTATTCGACCGGACACAATCCCCTTTTATGCATTCATCAATCACTATCAATCCTCTCTTCCTATCATCCTCACTCCTCTCCATTCTCACATTACCACACCGCTCCCCTACACCTCCCCCTAGTGACCATTCGGTCACTCCAAGTCCCTGAGGGGGCGGCCCTACTCGCATGTTAACTCTTTATACGATTCAACACTGTATCAATTCAATCCTTTATTCAAAACTAGATCTCCTCATGGCCGCCGTCCCCGTGCACCGGGGACGACGACGGGGGCCGCGAGGCCCTACTACGACTTCGCGGCCCTCTGGGCCGCTGTTGGCTCTGGCTTCTCGCGCGGCTTCTCGTGCGGCTTCTGCGGCGTCTCGTGCGGCTTCTTGTGCGGCTTCTTGAGCGGCTTCTTGAGCGGCTTCTGCGGCGTCTCGTGCGGCTTCTTGTGCGGCTTCTTGAGCGGCTTCTTGAGCGGCTTCTTGAGCGGCTTCTGCGGCGTCTCGTGCGGCTTCTTGTACGGCTTC